CGGCCAGGTGTGTGCTGAAGAACTTAAGCGTTGTACACGCCAACGGCGGTGCGCAAGGACTCTGGGTCATTGCACGGCTCGAGATAGAATTTCATGTCTGACAGCAAGGATATTGATGGATGTTGAAGAACCCGAACAGGGCATGGGTGTTGATGGGCAGCCCCCTTCAGAAATCCAACCTCCTGCCTTGGATGGGCTGGCCGCCGACCTCATTCAGAAGGCTTCGGTCCATGCTCGTGGGACGGCTCTGGAGGTTACGCCGGCCCTCAGGAGTTTCATAGTCTTGGAATTTCTATTGGAATTTCCGCGCCTGCCCTACTTAAGGTCGGAGCCCGACCACAAGAAACTTCCCGCAAGAAACCCAAGCATGAGACCCCAGGGCCTCCAATGATTTGTTGCGTGGGGAGGTCCCACTTTCCACAGCGAAACCATCGAAAACCAAAAAACCCAGGGCACCCTGGAGGCAAGCAGGGTGTTTCTTGCATGGGTTTCCACTGTACCCTCTGTCTTTCGTCACGGCCCGAATCCACAACGTCCCGCCGTCCGCAGCAGCTCGGCGCAGCATCCGGTCCCTTCAGAACTGGTTGCGCTCGGCCCGTGGATGTTGAGAGCCGTGTGGGGCCATTGGAGCGGCAGGCGTCGCGACTCGCGGTCCTGCCGGTCCTGTAGGTCACAGGAGAAGTACTTTCTGTAGTTTTCCGGGGGTCCTCGGGAAATCCAGGGTTCCTCGCGGAAACACGCGGCCTCGATTGCTCGATTGATCGATGGATTTTTCCGCGACCCCCTGCCCAGAGTAGCGCCTGGACAGGCGACAGGACAGCCGCAAGCACCCCTCCGAACAGTCCAAGAAGCATGCCAAGGACTCCAGCCCTACGTCCTCCAGCAATACTGAAGATAAAACGAATATAGCCGAGAAGCACCTGGCCGGTCACTCGGAACGCTCTCAAAACGTATTCGAAAGACTCAGCACAGAAGGAGAGGGCTGCTGAATACGACCGCCAGGACAAGCTCACTGCGGATTCAATTGCGGCCCAGCTTTCCTCGGCCATGGCAGCAACGGCTAAGAACGCTGTCCCCGGACCGGGGGCATCCAGCAGCACATCGCCAATTGCTCCGACCCCACCTCCGCCCGCAATCGAGGATACCCACATGTTGAGGTGCTAATCAGATCGCTCTGCTTGAGCTGTCGATGAACGACGAGGTGCCTCTCAGGAGCGGCACGCTCAAGAAACTCACCGAGGGCCTCGAGACCGTGTGGACGAGCAAGCCCGACGCGGTCAAAGGGGCAGACAAATTCCTCGATAAGCAGAACCATCATGCTAGCATCCCGCGCCCTCAGAAGGAGCACATTGAGCTGCTCTGGAACACGTCGCCGAAGCTGTGCTGAGTACCTTCATTCATGTGTGGTGTTCTCTTCCATCCCATCCGTATTCCTATGTGCCTCGTGCTTGTGTTGCCTGCGCTTGATGTTTGCACAGGCGTGTTCATGCCCAACCAGGAGTGCGAAGCATATAAGCTGCAGGCAGTAGCTCAGGTCTTCTGAGCATCGTTTATCCGACCCCCATCCCCAGCGGCGTGGCCTGAGCCCCACTGGCTGGTTTCCCCCCTAGATGGGGATATAGACCGTTCCCTTCGGGTTTCGAGGGATGTATCCCCAACTGGGGTGGTAATTTGGTGGGGGTCTCGAAGGGGATGAGGACGGAGATGGGGGTCGGTTAAACGATACTGACCTTCAGCTCTGCTGCCGGTGCACTAGCAGCAACATGGAGAGCATCGGCTGCCCCAGCCGCCACATGAGGGGGTCTCTCTAGATTGAACTACAACGCAACCATGCACACAACTGGCGCCACTCTTGTATTTCGGCGGCGGGCGAGCTCGGCGCATCTCGGCGCGATATCCCGCCGCGAACCCGCGGCGGCGGCACGGCGGCGGCCTCGAACACTAGGTGCACTTCGCACGCATCGGGTTCGGCGGCGGCGGCCCGTCCAGAGACCAGGGGGCACGGGGGCACAATGGCCCTGGTGCACAATGGCCCTGGTGATATGGAAATCGCATTAGCCGAAGCGACGACAAACGACGGAAACCACATGCCCCGAGTGGTTGATTTCGAAGAACGACGAACAGCGCGCCCCCAGGTCAAGTGGTGGCCGCGACGAACGACGGCATGAACCTGGATGACTTACCCACTAGCGCCGCGCGGCGGAAGAACGACGGGGCGAACATGGCACTGCTTACCTGCCTGTAGCCAATTAAACCCCTCTCATGCCGCCACGAGCAGCATGGCGATAGCAGGGCCTGGACCTTTCCTGTGGCTGGGGCGCGCCGCATCCCTCGCCTTGGGCACGGCAGCTGCCATGTGAATCTCGAGCATCGCAGGCATGTAATTGAAATGCCCGGAGGAGGAGGACGGGGAGGAGGGTAAGGAGGGTAAGGAGGAGGGGGAGGAGAAGAGGGAGGAGGACGGGGGAATGAAGTCCGCCTGCCCGCTCTCCCCCCCACCACCTGGTGGAGCGCCTCGGGCCCCGTTTCCAAGCTTCCAGACCAGGATGCGCGACATGCATGGGAGCCGGCGTCGCTGGTTAGCCCTCGATGCCATCGCATTTCCGCTTCCGACTTTTTGCCGCCCTTGAGAACGGGCAGCTCCCAGTCTTTCGGTCGGCGCATCACGTCAGCGAAGCCCCCGAGCGTGAAGCACCGGAATCACCCCTGCGTGTAGCAGGCATGGTGAGAAGGAGCGGGAGCCAACGATTCCACCAAGGGTGCAGGGAGTCACGCGCTTCGCATGTCAACCAGACTCGTCTAGGTTCGCGGTGTTGTGCAGGCATGGGTGCTAAAATGGACCGCAGCAGCCGCTCGCGAGCCGACCGGAGATTAGGATTCGGACCACCGGATTCACCACAGAGAGTTATCACCATCACCGTCGTCATCATCATCGCTACTATTATCATCACCTTCGTCATCAGCCGCAGCAACAGCATCCTCAACGTAATCCTCCTCATCCGTATCCTCAGCCTCATCATCATAATCATCGGCATCACCAGCATCATAAGCATCATGTCCATTATTGTCTTAATCATAGTCGGCATCAACAACATCAAAATCAGCAACACCATCGATATCCGGACCCTCATAATTAGCATGCTCGTTACATCATCAGTATCATCATCATCATCATCATCATCATCATCATCAGCATCAGCATCATCATCATCATCATCATCATCATCATCATCATCATCGTCATCATCATCATCATCATCATCATCATCATCATCCTCATCCTCATCCTCATCCTCATCCTCATCCTCATCCTCATCCTCATCCTCATCGTCATCATCATCATCATCATCATCAGCATCAGCATCAGCATCATCATCATCATCATCATCATCATCATCATCATCATCGCCAGCATCGTCACCACCATCATCATCAGCAGCAGCACCAACATCATCGTCAGTCTTATCATCATTATCATCCAGCTTCACCATCATCACCAGCACCAGCACCATCATCACCATCACCACCATCACCAGAACCATCACCACTACCATCATCATGATCGTCAGCATCATCATCATCATCACAATCACAACCACCGCCACCAACATCACCATCGTCATCATCACCATCATGATCACCATCACCAGCATCATCATACTCCTCATGATCATGATCATCATCATTATCATCATCATCAGCATCATCATACTCCTTATGATCATCATCAATAACAACATCATCATCACCATCATCAACATCATCATCACAATCCTCATTGTTAACATCATCATCAGCAGCAGCAGCAGCATTATCATCTTCATCATCAGCACGGCTCTCACCCTCGACCAGTCGCAACTCTCTAAGGCTGGACTGGCACGGTGGCGGGACTTGCCACAGGCAGCCGGATACCAACCAGTGATGGAACCAACTGATCCCCGCCCTCGCTGCATCGTCCCCTATCCCACTTCTCCCCTTCTCCGTCCCTCCACCCTCTCTCTCCTCCTCCTCATCCTCCTCCTCCTCAATATCATCATCATCATCATCATCATCATCATCATCATCATCATCATCATCATCATCATCATCATCATCATCATCATCATCATCATCATCATCATCAGTGTTTTCTTGTGCATGCTATTGGACCTCAGGGGCACGTAGCGTCAGCTCCTCCACCTCCTCCTCCTCCTGTGCTCCTCTCTCCCAGGGCCGCACTCTGCCTCGCCTTCCTGCCGCCTTCTGGCGTAGAACTCCCCCCTGTGCTCCCGATCGCCCCTCGGTGTCAGCGCTCTGCGAGCCCTCTCCCACGCCCCATAGAAAGAAATAGAGAGAGAGAGAGAAAACAAAAAAATGCATGAACAGCAAGTTTTGACGGTCCGCGCGGATGTCTTGGCTCTGCGCTGAACCCCCCTCCCTGGCGCGCCAGGTGCGGAGCCAGGGGCGAAGCCGGAGGCGAAGCCAAGGGATCTCCCGCGCAAGCCCCAAAAGGAACACGCGCGGACCTCCGAACCCTATGCTTATCAAGGCCGCGCTAACGGCGATGTTGGTGAACGGCGATGCTGGGAATCCGACTGTTGTGACGCCGAGCTCGCGCAGAACAAATTGTAGGAAGTCACGAACCACCGTTACCTACATTTCAGATGTGCGAATGTATCGAGCGACAACGACGCAGGGAATTGTAGGAAAGTGCGAACCACGCGTTCAAACACGGACCAGTCCTTCCTACAATTGGTGTTCCTACTTCGCCGTTAGCTAACACACCGTCAGCGCGTACACGGGCTTCTGCCACTGTTCGCTCTTCGACCGTAGTGTCTAGCGACCCTCGCTTTTGCAGCCCGCGTGGACCACTAAAAAACTATTCGACATCCCAGGGAAGTCCTAGAAACCTCAGAACGTATCCTGATCATGACCTCTTGCTCCTCTGCGTCAGCGCTCCGCGAGGCTTCCTGCTGGGAGTTCAGGGACCAGCTGGCCGGGCAGGGCAGAGTGCCACTTCCTTACTCGTGCTCGGGGAACGCGGCCACGGGCACCGCCTCTGGGGGGGCCTCCGCCTCCTTCTCCTCGGCCACCTTGTTCTCCTGCTTCCATTCCTGCTCCTTAATCCTCCTCGCTGCTGCTCCTACTCGTGTTGCAGATGATTATGCCGATGATGATGACTGAATCGTTGATGATGATGATGATGATGATGATGATGATGATGGTGGTGATGATGATGATGATGATGATGATGATGATGATGATGATGATGATGATGATGATGATGATGCGGATGATGATGATGATGATGATGATGATGATGATGATGATGATGATGCGGATGATGATGATGATGATGATGATGATGATGATGATGATGATGATGATGATGATGATGATGATGATCATGCTGGTGGTGATGTTGATGCTGATGCTGATTGTGTTGATTAGAATGATGATTAGTATGATGACGACGACGATGATGATGCTGATGATGATGATGATGCTGGTGATGATGATGTTCCCCCTCCTCCTACTCCTCCTGGTCCTCCTCGTTCCTCTTACTCCTACTCACTCCGTACCCGCCTCCCCTTCCGCCTTACCCGCCTCACCCGTGATCAGAGAGCGCAATGCCACAGTCTGAAACGATACTGACAGCGCGAACTTTAGGATCCTTCGCAAAGTTTTGACAAGGGGCCTCAAATGTTTGATTGTGCCGACCACGCTCTGAAGCCTCCCGTGCACCGTGGCCCCTGCGTGGAGTGCCAGGGCTGCGTCGGTCGTGGCTCGTGTCCGCTCGTGTCTCGCAACAATCTCGTGACCCCTTGTCGGAGCTCCAAAGTGCGATTGCGTCGACCGTGACTCGGTGCCTTCCGGTGACCGGTACCGTCACGCGGCCCTCTCGCTGCCCTGCGGTGGACCTTCGAGACGCGAGTGCGTCGGGCACTATGCCCTCTCCTGCCTCGAGGCCTTGTCGTGGCCACGCGGTGGAGAGTCGACTGTCTAGTTCTCCTCGGGGGGGGCGGAAGAATATGATTAGGTCGGGCGTGTCCCCCTACAGGCCGATTTCCCGCGGAGAAAGATGTTACAACAGATTCCCAAAATGCTAGAAAATACAAAAAAACTCGTCCCCAGTATTTTTCGTGTGTATTTTTTATATATATTCCTTCTGTAGAGGGACAGGCCCGACTTAAAGCAAAGGGCAGGGTAGAGAATCAGTTCACGTCGCTGGTTTTCCTGGCGCTTCCCAGCGCCGGGAGGCGCCCATGCGTCCAGGAATGGGCCCAACGGCGGGGCGGAAACCAACTGCATGCACCAACTACAGCAGCAGACCGCGCCCTAGCTGCCAAGGCCGCCGCCGGGCTGCGCGCAGAAGGTCTCGTGGAGGAGCTCGACACCCCGGACGCTGTGAAGGTGGCGATCGCCGCTGTGACGCGCCTCGTGCGCCAGGCAAGCCCGCGGGCCAGGAAGCAGCGCCTCGCTGGGTGGCGGGGGAGCTTGAGGACCTCTCTCAAGAAGCGACATCAGTGGGTCCGAGACGCCCCCTGCCGGCCGATTACCTGTGTCTCCTCGGCGCAGCAGGACGGCGCCCTTGACCTGGCCATGGCTGATATCCTCGAGACTGTTGTCACCCGATGGCAGGGCATCTACCAGAGGCACGCGCAGGGTGGCCCTTCGTGGGAGGCATTTCGCCGGCGGTATCAGGAGTGCTGGCAGCTCGCTCCCTTGCGCTGCGAGCCCATCACTGGGGCCGAGCTCCGCAAGGCGCTGCGCCGTGCCGGCGCCTCGGCGGCAGGCGTGGATGGCTGGGGCCCCGCAGAGCTGGCCCGCCTCCCTGAGGAGCTGCTGGACGCTTTCGCTGGGCTGCAGAACGAGGTGGAACGCACGGGGGTCTGGCCCGATGAGCTCGCGCAGGCAGTGGTCGCCCTGTTGAGCAAGGGCGAGGGGGAGCATGATCCGCTCAAGCTCCGCCCCATCACCATCCTCCCAGCCTTGTACCGGGCGTGGTCCTCGATCCGCTTCCGGGACGCCGTCCGGTGGCAGGAAGAGTGGGCGCACCCGTGCCTCAGCGGAGGGCGCAGCCGCCAGAGCACCAAAGACGTGTACACCCGTATCGCCCTGGAGATCGAGTCTGCCGCCCTCGAGGACCGGGAGGTGTGCAGTCTCCTGCTGGATTACACGAAGGCCTTCGACCGTGTCCCCAGGGAGGTGGTCTTGCAGCTGCTGGCCGACATGGGCATGGACGCCGGGGTCTTGCGGGCCCTCCGAGGCATGTACGACCAGTGCCAACGCTTCTTTCGGGTCGGCAGGGCGTGGTCTTCGCCGTGCCCTTCATCGAATGGCATTTTCCAGGGGTGCGCGCTGTCCATCATCGCCCTCAATGCCTTGGTCAGCGTGTGGGCCGGCAGCATGGAGCGCGCGGTGCCCGAGGCGCGCTGCAACGCGTACCTGGACGACCGCAGCCTGATCACCGACACGGCGAGGGCCCTTCAGCGGGCAGAAGAGGCCACACGGGAATTCGACCAGCTCACAGACCAGGAGCGCAACCCTACCAAGCAGGCGCTGTGGACCACCTCGGACGCGCTGGCCGCGACGCTCCTCGCAGCGCGGCCTGGGCAGGAGGTGGTGCGCGATCCCGTCACACTGGGGGTCACGCAGGCGACCCAGCCCACGGCCAGACCTTGTGGCGGCAAGGAGGAGAAACGCTTCGAGGAGGCCGGGAACCGGCTGAGCCGTATCCGGGCGTTGCCGTTGCCGCTGAAGGAGAAGGCGGGCATGGTGCAGAGCCACATGAATCCCATGGTTGCCTATGGCGTTGATGTGCGTGGCTGGGACGAGCTGCGCGTGCACGCCGTGCGGAAGCAGGTGCGGGAGGTCCTTTTCGTCGGCCGCTTGACGGCTGCTCCCGAGCTCATCTGGACGCTTGCGTGGCCAGGGCACCAGGTCGACCCTGTCCAGATCGCGCCGATCCGGATCCTCTCCGAGCTGGGGTCCACGTGCCGCTTGCGACGACAGGTGGCTGACCGCATTTGGACGGATTACTTTGCCCGGGAGGCGCTGCCCCGGCGCCGTCGCCCCACACACGGGCCCGCAGCAGCGCTGGCACAAGCTTTACGTTTCATGGGGTGGTCGTGTGCGACGGCAGGTATACTCCAGCGGCCAGGCCTTCCTGATCTTGATCTTTGGACTCTCAGTGGGCGCCTGCTGGGACACGAGCTCCGCCAAGGCTGCCGGAGCGCACTTTGGAGGCAAGTTGTCCGACGCCAGCTGTGGTACCTGGACGGGCTGGACCCCGAGGCGGGCATCGACCTCGACGCGGCCCTCTCCCTCATGAAGCACAAGGGAGCCGACGCCCTCTCCGACTACGAGATGGGGGTGCTGCGCAGCGTGCTCACTGGAGGCGTGCGGCCGCAGTCCCGGCTATTCAAGGCTGGCCTCGTCGAGTCGGCGACGTGCCCGTTGTGCCAAGCAGCGGAGGGCACGCTCGGGCACCTCTTCTAGGAGTGCCGGTGCACGGCGGCCCTTCGCCGGGAGCTGCCGCCAGCCGTGGTGCAGGCAGCCCAGAACGGTACCCTTCCGCGGTGCCTCACACGGTGTGGTATTGTCTGTGAGCCGCCGGAGGTCCGCGAAGCTGGTGGCTGGCTGGCTGCCGCCGCGCCGGGCCAGGAGCAACTGCTGCGACAGTGGCGACTGCGGGTCTCTCAGCAGGCGTGGTATCGCGGAGGCCGGCTTGTGATTGCCACGGACGGGGCGTGCTGGAACCAGCAGCTGGGATGGGCTCGCCGGGCCGGTCTGGGCATCTACGTGGGCCCTCGGTGCGGCAACCTCAGTGCAGCTCTCCCCGGCATGGATCAATCCAGTGGGCGCGCCGAGCTCCTCGCCATCATTCTGGTCTTCGCCGAGGCCGGCCGGCTGGGGCTGCAGGTGGAGATCTTGACGGACTACGAGTGCGCCGCCAAGGCTTGGGCAGCGTGGAGCGGAGGCCCGTCCTTCCACCCCAGGGAGCAGCTGGATCTTTGGCGCCGCCTGGAGCCCCTCGCGCGGGCGGCCCTCGCAGCAGGCTCCGCCCTCACCTGGGTCGCTGCGCACGGCCGTGCGGCACACGAGCAGGAGCTGAGGTGGAACAAACTGGTTGACGACCTCGCCGTGCAGGGGTCCAAGCGGCACACGGGCCTCCAGCGCCTGACCAAGGCCATCCGCCTGAAGGAGGCCAACCAGGACAATGCCCAAGCCGTTCAACGGCACATGGTGCGCTGCATCATCCTGTGGGGCCACCAGGAGGAGGAAGAGGAGGAGGACGAGGAGGAGGATGAGGAGGGCGAGGAGAGCGAGGAGGACGCGCCAGGTGGGCCGGGCCCCGAAGACCTGGCAGCAGCTGACCCACCCAGTGGCGAGCCGGCCCTTTCCGGCGCTGCACTGGCGGCGGCGGCGCTCGAGCAGGCTGATTTCCCTCGGTACCCTTGGCAGCACCAGGCCGGGGCCACACGCCAGCTCATCCTGGGGCCCCCTGTGGCCCTCCACAGTGGGAATTGGATGATGGGGAGCCACGACAGATACCACGCCATGCGCTGGTACCTGGGCCAGCTCCGGTTCGACGCTGCCGCCTCCGAGGTTGGCACCACATGGGCCGAGCTGGCCGTGGATTTCGAGCTCAGCACTGGCGTGGAGCTAGCTCCGCCTGGCAGCGCCATGGCCGCGCGGGCCCAGAAGTTTGCAGATGTGGCCTCTCGTACCTGGCAGCTGTCCACGCCCAGGCAGCAGCGCCAACGCGGGGGCAACAGGCAACGGGCGCTCGGGGACCTCACAATGGTCTCTCGGGTCACCGCCCTCGTGGCGCTCGGCTTCAAGCAGGGCCCGGGGGTGACCTCGCGTGCCATCTTCGTGCAGCCCTTCACGTATGCTGCTGCGCGCGGCGCAGCGTGGACAGGCAGAGAGGCGCCATGCTCACCTCCAATGGCGGCCAGACTACACAGCCGGCCCCGCACCGACCATGCCGGCAGCTGTCCGGCACGGACCGCCGGCGCCACCTGTGGCCGCTGCCAAGAGGGTGACGGCTGAGAGGATGGCTGCTGGGCACAACGCCGTCGCCGAGCGGAAGCGCCAGGAGCTCAATGCCGTCGCGGACTCCCAGGGCCTCCACGTGCTTGGGCCCATTCCCCCGGGAGCTGACAACTCCCAGCCGGTCGTCTGTGAGCGCTGCGGGCGGCAAACGCAGAAGATGCGCCTGGCCAAGTTCAAGCGGGAAGCTTGCACCGCAGCCTCGGGAGGCCGAGGAGGAGGAGGCGGGGCCGCGCCTGCGGTCCGCCGAGGAGGAGGGGGCGAAGGCCGAGGAGGAGGAGGAGGCTGAGGAGGGGGCGGAGGAGGAGGGCGCCACGCAGATTCCCCACAACCCCAAGATGCAGCCAGCCGATGAGGAGGAGGAGGAGGAGGAGGAGGAGGAGGAGGAGGAGGAGGAGAAGGTAGAGGGAGAGTGTCGCCAGGCAGCTTGGCTACCACAACCGGGAGATGCCGGGTGACGGTCGCCTTGCTGGGTGGCTGAATGGATGGTCTGCCGTTCCGTATTGGCAGAGCTTATTCTCCTTTTTCCTGCAGGTCAACACTGTGTCAGGTTCCTCGCAGAAGCACCGCCCCCGCCAACAGATGTTGTACGGCAGGTTCGTGTCGTGCCGACTTCGGCGTTGGTTTCTGACGCCGCGGGGAGCGTTCAACCTGGAATGATCGGGCGTTTCCGAAACGTCAGATCGTTCACCATCGAGCGATTCTGGGTCGCCGACGGCGTTCCACGTTGATCGCCCACGGCAGGGTCGCCGTCGGTCGACACGACGCGAACCCACCGTAACCACCCCTTCCCCCATCCTGCCCATTCCTGCGGCCCGATCTTCTCGGGAAAAGCCGCTCCGCCACCGAGCCAAAGGCTTCGCTGCAGCTGGCACGAGCGGGTGGCTCAACGGCATGCTGGCTTCGGGCGGCCGGGCAGGCGCGCGGCGCTTCGGCCTGGGCCGCGGAGCCTCCGGGAGGCATTTCCAACAGCGCTCTGGCCCTCGAGCCAGGCAAGGTGGCGGGATGGGCCGCATGCCACTAGATTACAGTCAGCCCGTAGAATGATGACGCACGGTGAGGATGCAAGGGCCTTGGAAGGCCACCTCGGCACTTTGTGAGCGGGGCGCGGCCAGCGAGGGCGGCCGAGGAGGGGCCGAAAGGGAAGGATGCAAGGGTAACCTGGGAGAGTCGCTTGTCCTTACCATGCGGGCTGATTGTAGTCAACAGCATGTTCGCACCGCTGGCAAGTACGAACTGGTTGCGCGGTTCACGCCCTGAGCGTTCGTTTGGCCAGCGGGCGGCAGCGGCAGCGGCAGGTAGAACGTCCGACGCTCACCTGGCCAGCCGCAAGGCACTCGCAGGCCACGAGGCATGGAGGCGAAGGGCCAGAGGACAATCCCCCTCTTGTGCTGCACATGCTTGCATGGGCTGACCTTGAAGCGGAGCGTCATCGTCCTTGTCTACATCAGGAAGAAGGAGAGGAGGCCAAGGGGGAGGGGAGAGAGGCAGGTGCAAGGGGAAGCGGGGACAGGGAGTGGTGCAGCGGGAGTGGGAGATGGATGGACAGGGACAAGTGGGACCTCCCCGGCGCCAAGAGGCTGGGCAAGCGGATCGAGACAGAGGAGAAGAACTGTCCCGCCTCTGGTGGCCGCAGCACGAACGGCTGCGCCGGCAGCCCCTGAGCCGCGGGCTGGGCCGCCAGCTGGAGCGCCTGCGCCGGGACGCCCTCGGGCACCTCGTGGGTGGGAGGGGGGGCGACGGCCACGGGCCGAGCAGAGCGGCCGGCAGCGCCACGCGCTTGCTTCTTCGCAGCCTTCCGGACTCCCGCGCGGAGGCAAGAGATCCGCAGAGCGCCGAGCCCAAAGACAGTGAATGCCCGGGCAAGGTGGTGCTAGGTCCTGGTCGAGGCGAGAGGCCAAATGAGTGTCGGGCAGAGGCACCAGGGCCAGAGACAGGAGTGCTGTCGCAACTCCCCCGCCGCGCCCTGAACCTCAACCAGCAAGTGGCAGCGGGCACGCCGCGCAGTGTCCGGCCAGCGACCAGCCCGCAAAGAGAGAAGCGCATGGGCCGCAGCTCTCTCGCGGTGAGCCTCCGCCCACCTCGGGCCAGCCTTCAAGGCCATCGCCTCCGCGTCGGCACCGTCTGCTCTGCTCTGCTCTGCGCAGCGGCCAGAGCTCCATGGACCATGGAGCTACCCCACTGGAGGACGGCCTACCCATGGCTACCGCACGTGGACAATGTGCTCGAGCGCTGCGGTGCAAGATGCCCCCACCGGACCCCCTGAATTGGAATTGGGGGGGCGATCATAACCCCCTCTCGAGTGTGGAAGGGCTAGAATCTATTGTCCTTTTGCAAGAACCCAACGGTGCTGGTGTGACCCGTGCTGGCCCCGTGACCCAACGTGGCTGTGTGACCCCGATTCGGTCGTGACCGCCGCTCCAGTACAGCCCTTGCAACGAGAACAAAACGGACGGCGCCACAATATATGGTGCCGTCCATTCTGCTCGCGTCAGAAAGGCTGTGGACACCAGATGAACAATATCTGCCACCGTGCCGCTGGGCACGGAGTGGGCGTGTCCTCAGGTCCTTTGCCTGATCCCCTGAGCCTCTCCGAAGACTCTGTAAGGTAAGGGCCCATGCATCTGCTGTACCCTTTTCCCCCTCGAACACTCTGAAAGCCTTCCTGGGCAACGCCTGCTAGAGCGAGCGGGGCAGCCCCGCACCGACTTCCTCCGGTGCCTCGGGGCTCGCTTTGGGGATCTCTTTGGGATGCTCCTCGGGGCCTTTGGGGCCCCCTGGGACCCATCTGGGCTCTCCTGGGATCGTCGTCGGCCACCTGAATGCCACCTTGAAGCATCAGAGGCCCATCGGAAGCCGGGCGAGACCGAGAGAGAGAGAGAGATAGAGAAAGAGAAGGCCCCGACGGGGCCCGCAAAACAGGATCCCCAGAGTGCCGCGAAGAACCCCACAGACTGACGGCAAGCTTAAGAGACAACATGAAGCTTAGGGCCAGCTAGAAAAGGCCAGCTCCAAGCCGAATGCAAGTCGAACGAAGCAGCTCCAGGCAAGCGGAAGCAAGCACATTGAAGAAACAGCAAAGCCAGCGAACTGCAAGCTCCAGACAAACTGGATATTGCCGCACGTTTTATTGCACTGCCCGCGAGCGGGCCGCAGGCCCTCTGCACTCGGGGATGTCGCAAGACACCCAGCAGATTCAAGGGGGACTCTGAGGCCAGGCCGAAGGCCGAAACAGCAGCGGATGCGGGTGAGAGCTGCGCAGGGAAACGCAGGCACTGGGGCAGGGCACGGGAAGAACGAAGACACATGGGACAAAGGCTAGGCGCTCATGGGGCTCATAGGGATCCCTTCCAGGGAATATCAGACTCATGATGTCATGTTGTAGCCTCTGGCCTCTCAGCACCATCGTCTCGCAACTCCTCAGATTTCAACGAAGCTGCAACCTGCTCTCTCCGTTGTCGATGCTGCAAGTTTCTGTCGGGCTTCCCCGTCTTCCTCCCAGCTCTCTGGGTTCTCTTCTTCTCCAGCTCTTCACAGCTCCCATGTCCTCCTGCATCGTCAACTGGCACGACCACATGTAGTGTCGGAAATACTCAACATCAGCTCCCCCGTTGGCAACTATATCCCGTAGACCCTGCACATACCGTCTACCCCATTTCAACTACGCGCTGGGCTGTCTCTGCGTTTCTTCCAGAAGAACCCCCTCGATTGCCATCCTTCTGTCTCGGATCAGACCTAACCCTTCCTTAATCAGGTGGTCACGCCCGTCTCGCATCTGTTAAGAACCGCGGCGCTCGTCCCGACACGATGTCAAGCCACTTCTTCAGGTCGGGCTTCTTCGCGAAAACCTCGGGCACACCGCGCAACAACTCTTCAGTTTTCAAAGAAGCTGCCAGGTGCGATGTCTCCGCTGCCAACGCACTCCTGTTCAGTCCCTGAGTCGACTTCGAACTGTAGTCCTTCATCGCAGCCTTCACCAGCTCGTCGCTCAGCACCTCGCACTCTGCGATGAACATCACGTGGCGCACGATGCTCTTGTACTTCTCGATATCGTCGCTCTCGGGGTTGTCTTTCGCGTGGCCTGGGTCGCACACGATGCGCACCGCGGCCTTCTCGCGGTCGGTGCCGGTCGGGAACTTCGGCACGTGGTCCGCGCCGCGCTTACAATCGTCGGCTGCCTTGTCGACCGTCGCGAACCCCGCCGCGCGCGACGCCAGAACTGCTCGAAACTGTCACGATGACCGCGATAATCCCACCAAGCCTTTGGGCGTGAGTGGTTTAGAGAGCCCGCTCTGTTCTCAACCCCCTTCTTCCCCTTCGGGGAGGGGTTTACCCCTCCCCCTACCCCCTCCACCTGGGCCTGGAGAGGGCGTTTCGCGGGTCGTTGGGGTGGTCTTTTTCGACTCCTGGGAGGGCTAAAATTCGACACCCCTCACGAGGATTCTGGCCCCGACGGGGGGGGGAGAAAAATGCTCGCCCCATCTGTGATCGATCGCCCGACAGATGGCCCCAAGATTCCTCCCAGACCCCTCCCAAAGAGCCCCAAGAGGCCCCAAGAGGCCTCCAAGAGGCCCCCAAGATGCCCCCAAGAGGCCCCCAAGAGGCCCCAAGAGGCTCCCCCGAGGCACCCAAGACGCTCCTGGAAGCCCCTGGAGCCGCCAAGAGGCCCCCAAGACGCCCCAAACGGCCTCCAAGAGGCTCCCAAGAGGCCCGAAGAGGCTCCCCCAAGGCACCCAGGACGCTCCTAGAAGCCCCTGGGGCGGCAGAAGGAAATAGGAACAGAGGATATATGCGAAGGCAGACAGACACACGCCTGCACCAAACGACTGTCGGCATGCTTCGCTGGGCTGGCTGTTCGGAGATAGTCGTAGTAGTAGTAGTAGTAGTAGTAGTAGTAGTAGTAGTAGTAGTAGTAGTAGTAGTAGTAGTAGTAGTCGTAGTAGTAGTAGTAGTAGTACTACTACTACTACTACTACTACTACTACTACTACTACTACTACTACTACTACTATTGCTACGACTACTACTACTACTACTACTACTACTACTACTACTACTACTAGTACTACTACCACTACTAGTACTAGTACTATACTACTACTACTACTACTACTACTACTACTACTACTACTACTACTACTACTACTGCTACTACTACTACTACTACTACTACTACTACTACTACTACTACTACTACTACTACTGCTACTGCTACTACTGCTACTACTACTACTACTACTACTACGAGTACTAATTCTATTACGACGGCTACTGCTACTGCTACTCCTACTGCTAGTGTCACTGCTACTGCTACTACTACTACTACTACTACTACTACAACTGCTACTGCTACTGCTAAGACTATTTTTACTACTAATACTACTTCATCTGCTACTACTGCTACTGCTGCTACTACTACTACTACTACTACTACTACTACTACTACTACTACTACTACTACTACTACTACTACTACTACTACTACTACTACTACTACTACTACTACTACCACTACTACTACTACTACTACTACTACTACTACTACTGCTACTACTACTACTACTACTACTACTGCTACTACTACTACTACTGCTACTACTAGTACTACTACTACTACTGCTACAACTGCTACTACTGCTACTACTACTACTACGAGTACTAATTTTACTACGACGGCTACTGCTACTGCTACTCCTACTGCTAGTGTCACTCCTACTGCTACTACTACTACTACAACTGCTACTGCTACTGCTAAGACTGTTATTACGACTAATACTACTTCGTCTGCTACTACTACTACTACTACTACTACTGCCACTACTACTACTACTACTACTACTACTACTACTACTACTACTACTACTACTACTACTACTACTACTACTACTACTACTACTACTACTACTACTACTACTACTACTACTACTACTACTACTACTACTACTACTACTACTACTACTACTACTACTACTACTACGACTACGACTACGACTACTACTACGACTACTACGACTACTACTACTACTACTACTACTACTACTACTACTACGACTACTACTACTACTACTACTACTACTACTACTGCTACTACTACTACGAGGTGCCCGAACGCCTCACGCCACGAGGAGCCCGAACGACTCACACCAGGACGAGGGGCCCGAACGACTCACACCACGAAGAGCCCGAACGACTCACACCAGAAGGAGGGGCCCGAACGACTCACACCAGGACGAGGCGCCCGAACGACTCACACCACGAGGAGCCCGAACGACTCACACCACGACGAGGGCCCCGAACGACTCACACCACGAGGAGCCCGAACGAGTCACACCAGGAGGAGGGGCCCGAACGACTCACACCAGGACGAGGGGCCCGAACAACTCACACCACGAGAAGCCCGAACGACTCACACCAGGACGAAGAGCCCGAACGACTCACATCACGAAGAGCCCGAACGACTCACACCAGGAAGAAGGGCCCGAACGACTCACACCAGGACAAGAAACCCCAAACGACTCAAACCACGAGGAGCGTTTTCTCTCCCTCCTCCTCCGCCTCGTCCTTCTCCCGCTCCCACCACAAGGAGGATGTGCAAGGAGGCGGGAGGAACGAGGAACAGAGGAGATATGCGGGGGCGGGCGGAAACACGCCTGATAAACACGACTGTCGGCATGCTTCGCAATAGTTGCTGTTTTGAGATGGGCTGGTGGGGATACGCGAAGCGTAAAGAATTTCCCCGCGGCATTTCGCAGATTGCACTTCTGCCTCTCTCGTTCGAATTCTCTCGGCGGTCTCTTGGGGTTGTCGCTCCCTTCGCGCCAAAAATAGTCGCACTTCATCATCCCTCCAGCGCCTCCGCTTGGCAGTCGTCGAACCGCGCGCCCTCGAAATACGAAGTCCTCCCTCAGCCACTCCGGGAGACTTAAGTTCCCCCGAGCACATTGGACCGCTGCGCCCCCAAGTTTCGACGCAACTCCAGCTTGCAGGTCGCCCGCGCGCGCGCGAGATGCCCGCTGGCGCGCCAGCCGAGCCCCGCAAGAAGGACAAGGCAAGTTCTGGACCAGACTGCGCCCATCCGCCCGCCCCAAGTACCTCGCAGAGAGCAAACCTAAACAAACAGGCGTCCTCAACAAAAACGCAAATCGCCATCTTGGCCTTTAGCGGCTGTCTCGGATGGAGTCATTTCAATCCTCCGCGCGGCTGGCTGACGTAGATCGCGAGACGGATGCCCCCCGCTGAGAAGTAGGAATTCCCGATGTCTCCGCAACGCATGATCATGCCAACACTGGCAACCGGAAGAAACACCGTGGCCTCCACCAGCTTTGACGCTGTCGGCGCATCTCTTCGGTGCTGTCCAATGCTCTTGCCTTTGATACCCTGCACCACCATCCTAGACTTCGCTTCGAAATTGCCGTCGACGGTGCCCTCTTCTTGACGGTCCTAAACCACCTGCCCAGTAAGCTCATTATCTCGCTCGCGTCCACATCCTGCCATGATTTACAATGCGTTTCGCCCGACCTCCCAAATCGGGTGAACAGATGGCGCTTCTCGTCGGAGATCTCCTTCAAGCGAATAACCTTCCTGCCTCCCTCGGCGTCAGTCTGCGTCGCCTGGTGCGAATGACCGAACTCGTTCCTCCCGGCGTCGAAGAAGAAGGTATCCTTCGATATCTCGTGCTGGGAAGAAGCGGGCTCGGTCGCGTCGCGCCCCAGGTGCGCGACCCCCGGCAGCTGTCGCCGCGGTCGCACACCGCGAAGGCGTCGCCACTCTTGGTTGAGGCCGAGACGTCGTGCATGAACCTCTGTCTCTTCGCCTCCCCTTCTGCTGACTCCTCCGCTGGCCGAAGCAGTTATTTCCTCTCGATGTCCACCATCTCGCGCGGGCGTTCGACTCCAGCGCCTGGCGCGCGGTGATCATGCAAGTCTGGGTCCCTTTCTGCGCCCATAGGAACATCATCCGATCCTCGAACTTTCTCCGCGAACTCCTTCGCTGCTTCCTCGATGGCGTCCTCCTCCCACTGCGACGCCAGCGCCTCGGGTCGCGACGTTCTCTGTTCCGCGGGATGGGGGGTCCTTGCTGCGTCAGCGAAGGGTCCTCCTGCTGCGCCCCTGGATCAAGCGATTCTTGCTTCCCGGCGGGCTCAGGCACCTCCAAGGGAGGCGCTTCCGGTGGAGGCTGAACCGCCGCTGGTCCATGTCGCATTTGAGCCCCATCTTCTTGAAACTCTCGTAGGAAAAATCGTCGACGAAGGTCGGTGAGACCGCGACCTCCAGCAACGCCGCTGGCGCCCATCACGTCCGTCACCTGCGCCGTCGCGAGCAGCGCCCTGACATCCTCGTCGGATGCCTTGGCTAGGTGCTCTGGCGCGCTTGCGATCGTGATGCCGCGATGCACAATCCAGGTCGCGCGCTTGCCCTCGCGGCCGATGGCGCGAGCGACTCCGAGTCCTCTCCAGTTGATGACGCACTTGGGCCTCTTGCCCTGCTAGTTCTGATCATCGCAGAATACCCAGTCGCCCGCGTTGAACGGTCCACGAGCTAGCGGTATCTGTCGTAAATATGTTCTGTCGATGGCGTCGTCGCTGGCTACCCGGGCGCGCGCCTCTCCAGCGGCCTGCCATGAGACCCATTTTCTCGCGAGTTTGGAAGTCGGCGTAGCCGACGCCGCGACTGCTCCGATTCTGCGAACTTCTCCGTCGCCTATCAGGCCAGAAAGGGGTCGAGCAGCTCCGCCCAGCGCCCAATGCGTCGGTAAGAAACCTGGGCGACGACAGACAGCATTCCTCGACTGATTTCTCGAAGGCCGCCTTGATAACATCCCCTTTGCGGCCACCTGCTTCGCCCGCGCGACTCGTCTCAACACGGCCTGCCACAGGTCGCCGCGCCTCTCGGCCTCGGCGACATGCCGAGCTGCGGCCTTCGCAACATAGTCGAACCAGCAGCCTCAGCGCGAAGTGCGTTCGGCAATGGCACCGAGGACGACCTCGGCCCCGTCCGCGACGACGCCGGCCGCGAGCTCGCCGGCCCAAGACGCCCAGCATGCCGCGCACGACTTCTACGTCGTTCCCGACCGCGCCACGGCGCGAACCTCGCCAAGCAAAGACAGCGCCTAAAAAGAACACCCCAGGCAAACAGTGTGACAGCACTGACACTCCGCCAGCACCCTTCTCGGCGAAACCGCCGATGCCAACGACCGCAATGAACTCCTCAAACGAGGGGGGCTTGCTGGGTCGCGCCAGTTGTCGTCGTCGCATTCGATTGTAAGGCTCGCGAGAAAACAGCCCGCGCGCGCTGCCTTGATAGCTGCCCGCGTCGCACGAGGCGCCCTCGAGGCTCTGACCACCTCGATCATGGACGCGCGGCCGAGGCTCTCGCGCAGATGCCGCGCTGCTACATCGACATCTCGAGGCGGCCAATCCCATCTTAGTTCTCTCTCCATCTCCACATCCTGCCCCTTGCCCTCAATGCCCCTGGCCTGGGCACCGTGCGCCATACTGAAGACGTCCGCGCCCGCAATGTCCATCAGCTTCTTCGCGGGCGACAAGGCGGTCCAATTTTCCCATCCGAGCCCCCGAGACTGGGCCAATTTCCACGATCGCCCCTCGCGCGGGCCGCCCTCGAGGGCGCCCGAGAAGCGCGCGGACGCAGCACGAGCCCGAATAGTGCGCGTGAGTCGCCACTTCCCATCGCGAAACTGCAGGGGTGCCCCCCGCCCAGCTCGGCGACGCCCGCGGCCCTCTTGCCGGCCGAGGGCGACAGCAGCGTGAGCGGCGTGAGGGGAACCACAAACTTGCTGGAAGTCTGCAACGCATTCCCAGCGCTCTCCTCGCCCATTCCCACCAAGCCGCCCTCCCGCGCCACGCGACGGTTGAGTCCGCCGGCTCCGAGCATATACGGCCTACGGCAAGCCCTCTTAGTGGGTGGTTCAACTAGCTAGTCGCCCAGTAGATCGCCTCCAGGTCGCCTCTTGCGGGGGCAGCTGCACTGCTTGTCTCGACCTGCTGTCGCGTGCCGTCGCGCATCGCTCGCGCCGCCCGCGGAGGGCCCGCGGCCGCTCGAGCCGCCCTCTTGAACAGCTGAGCTGTTGCCCTCTACCATCTCGCGAGTTGCCGCGCGCTTGCGCAGGGCGGCCAGCTCGTTCAATGCGCGGCGGCTGTTCGCAGGATAACCCGTCAGATACTGGATGGGCCCGCCGATATGAACTCTTGCCGAACAAGCGCTGAGCCCCGCGGGGAGACCATGCGCCTGTCTACTCGGAGACGCTGGCCAGGATCTCGTCGCACTTCCAAGACGCTGCAGACCGAGGTTGCCCTGCCAGGAAATATCCCCCCCCCCCCCCCCCCCACCCCCTCTCTTCATTCGACGCGCGCAGATTCGGCGAGAAAGCTCCCGCGCGCGCCTGCCGCGCGCATCGTATCGCGCAGCGTAGCCCAAGACACCGCAGGGCACGCGTTCGCCACGACCAACAATGCGCGGCGATCGCAGGCAAGGGCGGCGAGCGCCGTGCCGTGCTCGTCCAGAACGTCGAAGAACAAATCCTCGCCAAGTTTCGTCAACAGGCCGAGGCCGCCTCTGCTGTCCAATGGCTGAGCGTCGGCCCACTTAAAAAGGCCAGACGCCGCTCTCACCGCGACGAACGCCCCGCTCCTCCCGCGGCTCGATGATCGCCGTCGTCTCGAAGCTTTAGGTCGCAATCTTCTCGGCAACAATGTATTCTTTTTTGAGCGCTGCCCAATTATGATTCTCCTGCGTGGCCACTCTCGCAGTTGGCGCCGTTAGCTCCTTCGTCCGTCGAGCCGCCGGCTCTGTCCCGGCAGCGCCAGCATTCGCGCCTCGAGCCCCCAGTGAGACATTCGAGCCTTCGCCCTGGCATTAAACGCTTCGGCTTTCAAGCCGGCGCCCTGGCGTTGAAAATTTCGACATTCGCGCGAGCCTTCGCCCTGGCGGCGACGTTTCCGCGGACCCCCGCGTCGGTATTCTCGCGAGCGTCTGACCCCAGGCGAGCGCGGCGTCCGTCGGCGATGCCCGCGGATGCCCCCGAGCGCACGAAGGCGTCGCCCCTCGAAGACTTGAGCTCCATGACCAGTAGTTTGGACTCGTCATCGGCCCCGAACCGCGCTGCGTCAAGTTCCGCGCGAGGCGTCCGCATCGTCTTGATGAATGGCGCTGTGATTACCGAGGCAGTCAGCTCCAGTTTGCGCGACTTCAACTGAATGCGCCCGCCCAGCGCGGCCACGGCGGGCGCGGGCGTCAGCGGGGGCGCCATTCCCGCGGAGACTTCGGCCACGCGCGCTTCCCTACTGAAGCCGCCAGCGTCGATCGAGATCGCGGTGACGCAGCCTGTCCACCGAGCGCCGTCGGAGACAGCGCGAGCCGGCTCGCCGCCCGCCTTCCCACAGACCACGCCGGAAGGCAGGTGCTTCGCAAAACGCCCCCTCCAATGCCTTCCGCGCGCGCACACGGTGCCAGCGGCGTCGACGAAGACCGCCACCTCGCAATTTATCCACGCCGGGAAGGCGACCTCGAAGATCCCCGGCCGATCGCCATCGCCAGACTCACCCGCGACGTCGAACATGCTGAGCTTGAGCACGGAGGACAGCTCAGCGGCATGTCAAACGCGCGCCGCCGACATGAGCACCCTCGTCCTCGACCTCTGAGGCCCCCCGGCATCGCGGAGGGACGTCGGGCCTCGCATTTGGCCCTGCCCTTGCTAAGCGACGAAAAGCACGGCCGTCCTGCCCGCCCCTCCGGAACATCTGCTGGCCTACGTTTTCGCTGACAGTCCCCACTTGCATCTCCTGGTAGCGACGAAATTGAGGCAGCTGTAGAAATTGGCGCCGTCGATACCGTTGGTCTCCACCTGCGTGCCCTGGCGGCAGTGCAGTGGGCGCATGGGCTGGCCGATGCGCGCATTGTCGTCGTTCGCAGACTCCCTGGCCGATTGCGCCCCCGATGCCGAGACCTTGGCATGGCCCCAGTTCGCCGCTGATTCGCCGTGCGCTTCGCGTCGCTCTGCTCCTGCGCGAATTGCTTCAGGTTGGTGTTCCTCGGCCTCGGCGCTTTGCCCGTTCTCGTTGCCTCGACGCGTTCCTGCCGCGCGCGGTAGGCGACAACTTCAGCTTGCAGAGGGCAGCGCTCATCACATCCGCGACGCCCGTGCTTCTCGCAGTCGCCGCACTGGATGCTCTCGCCCGGCTTCCTCTCGAAATCCCCGCAGATCTCGTCGGCCGCAGCGTCGGCGACGGCGCGCCCCATCTTGACCTGCGCCGCGCCAGCGCAGTGGCCCTCGAGGCGCTCCACGAAGATGCTCTGCTCACCGATGACCTGCAAGCCGAGCTCCCCCAAACGGCCTTTGAACTGGCGCATCGTCCAACTCTCGAAGTTCCGCCCCTTCGTGGGGATCTCCTTCGCCGAAGGCTTCGGCGCCCCTGAACTCCTGGCTTCAGCCGACTTCCTGCGAGAGGCGCCGTGGCCCTGGTCATGGTAGCCGTCGCCCTCGCGCTCGTCGTCGCACTCGACTCAAGGGTTGTCCGTTTACTCGTCCCCAGAATCCCCCGCAAAGCTGGCCTCGTCGTTCTCGTCTTCCTCTGCTACCCCCTGCTGTGGCTCAGCTCCGTCGTCTTCGTGTAACTCCTCTCCGTGGGCCATGTACGCCGTCGCCTCGGACATGAGTGCGCCCTCCTCCGGGGGCCCGTCGAGGTTGAAGTACGGTTTGGCGCCGCCACCTTTGCATCCTGCGTTCCTAGCCTGGGCCGTTGCTTCAGGCCCTCCGAACATTTTGCCCCCTGCCCTCCTGAGTTAGGGCGCGCCTTGTCTCCTGCCCAATGGCCCATCCGACCACAGGTGCTGCAGCTCGTGCGCCTTTTCTCCTGTTGAGTATGCTCCTGCTGTCCCTTGAAAGCCCTTTTCACCCTTGAAGGAGCATCGCTGCTTCTGAATATTTTTCAGGTTCTCCCTTGCCGAATCGTACGCACTGTAGGCCTCGTAGACACCATCGTCGTTGGACGATCCCGCGTCGTTGCCGTATTCGTCGTCTGCCGCGTTCGCGCCCTCGTGTACATCGAACTCCTCATCTGAAATATCACCCTCGTCATCCGCGTCATCCTCGACTTGCCTCACTTTGCCGAAATGTCCTCGGTGTTGGAATCTCCCACCGCCTCTGCCTTGCTGATGGCCGTGCCCCGGCATGTTGTGTTCCTTCTCGTGAACGTCATGGAAGCGTACCCTCAGCGCGCGTTGGAAGTTCTCGAGCTTCTAGTCTGATCCGCAGTGCAGAGCGATATTACGTTTTTGGTCGCCCGCGAGCCCGGCTTCGTCCAAAAAGAAATGTGCCATCAGGTCGTCCGACAAAGTCGCGTTGTCGTCCCGCTCCCGAAGGTCTTCTCGGAGTTTTTCCGGCAAGATACTCAGTAGTTGTTTCTGAAGACATGTTACAATGCCAAAACTTAGGTCGGGCGTGTCCCCCTCCAGGCGGATTTTGGAAGAAAAATGAAGAATACCCTAAACAAGAAAAATAGTTGCGAATTGTCAATAATCGTCCCCATACTATTCTTGACTCTTTTTGAATTTTCCTCCTGTACGGGGACATGCACGACTTAAGCCAAAACCGAATCCGCTATTATTTGCTTGTAGAAAGTCGACAAGGGCCCGAAAATCCTCTGCTTTCCTCAGGGTTTCCTCAGCTCTCCGTGTTCGATGGCCCGGTGCTCTGCTCGCCGCCAAGCCCGACCGTGTAGCCTGCCGAGCAGATTGACCCTGAATGTACGCGTCTTCTTGTTGTGACTAGTATTCTTCTTATTATTCGTATAATGTTTAAATCTTAGTATTATTAATAGTATTGATATTATCGATATCATTATTATTGCTTTTCTTAGTGTGCTAATTATTCTTTTCCAGGCTCGTATCCTGAGCCTCATCGCTACCACTTCCCTCGAGCCTGGCCAGGGCCAATTTGAGCCTGTTCTTGTACTCTTTGGGCAACTCTGGTTTGCTCCAGGTGTAGTGGGGCAAGCCATCCCGATCCACAGCCATATCATCATCACGGTAGGAGCTGCGTCCAGCTCTTTGGTTCTTTATCTTGGATTCGTTCTGCTACTCAGCGGGTGCACGGCAGCGCCCACAGATCAGGTCCGATGAAAATGCTCGGCCGCACCCTCTATCTCGCCACAGCTCCGCGATTAGACCAAAAAACTAACGACACCAACCCCACCTACGGCCCCACGGGACCTGGCATACCCCATGACTTCTGGCTTGGGTGTTTGCGTGGTATACGCTACGGCCCCCGATGAGCCCTAGCGCAACATGACGAGCCGTAGGTGGGTGGGTAGCCGTGGCGCAACATGGAAAGCCGTGGCGCAAAATGGAGAGCTATTGACTGCTGGTCAAAAGATACCAATATGATCGCGCGTCTTCCCACACTGCCGGTGAGCGGGCCGCAAGAGTTCTGCACGCGGGGGTGTCGCAGGACACCCGGCACAATCAGAGCATGCTCTCCAAGGCTGGCCCCGGCGGGCCGAGGCAGCAGCGGATGCGGGCGAGAGCAGCAGAGGGAGGCACTGGCACGGGGACAGGGCACGGGGGGCAGAAGGAAGTGCACGGGGGGCAGGGGCTGGGCGCTCAGAACGACTACCTGCCAGACCACCCCAACCCAACGCGAAGACCCAGATTCGGGGTTTGGGGAGGAGCGGGTTGCACATCTGCTGTCCCAATGTTCCCCGACGCCCCGCCCACTGCAAAGGTAGGACAGATTGCGGATTTCGGGTTGGGTTGGGGTTGCTTAGTGGGTGCTTACATAAGGCTCACGGGGTTCACTTCCAGGGAATCTCAGACTGAACTTGGCAAGCCAAGGCCACCACCCTCTCCAGCGGCAGCAGATGCAGAAGCAAGCTGCAACCGTAGCCATCAGATCGACTACTCCGACCTCGGTGATACTGCACCCGCCGAAGATCATTCACAAGCACACGCGCGTCAACTATCTTACCCTAGTTGGGACTCTGGCCACCACTACCCAACACCTGGCCACTGACGCAAGCTGCTCTGCCTTCGATGGGTGCTGCGGGCGCGAACACGACCACTCATGTCAGCTACTCCGACTTTGGCGACACTGTGCTCATGGCAATGCAGCTACTGAGCACAAACGTCTGCTGCGCATTGAACGACTACCTCAACATACCAAAAGCCTGCATTAGCCACAGGCCTGCCGAGACGTGATAACATCGCAAAGGCACGTCATGAATAAGACAACGCCTGTCGAATTGCTTCTCGGAGTATCCTAGATCCACTTCCCGACCACCTCATGACGCAATGTCTTGATGACCGTCTACCGCACTTCCTGGCAACGCTTTTCCATTACAACCGACATTGACCCATCTGGGCCCATCCCGAGACTAATGGTCCGGCGAGGATGGAGAGAAGGGCGGGGTGAGAGAGAGAAGGAGAAAGGGAGGGGAGGGGAGGGGAGGGCTTGGTAGAGGGACGTCTTCACAGAGGGAAGAGGGGATGGAGCATGAAAGTGGGAGGGGGCGACTGCAGGGAGACGAAAAAAAGTCAGGAAAAGGCAGAGAAGGGGGCATGGGAGGAGCCCTCGCTGGCGATATCTGGAGGGGGACGCCGATCCCTCCATCGAGACGCTTCTCTGGATGCCAGCTCCGCTCCCATCGAGACGCCTATCTGCAGGGAGGCGGACAAGAAGGTGGAGGTGGATGAGATGGAGGAGCAGACGGTGTGCGATATCGAGAGAGGGTGCCTGGACCATGAGGGGCTGCTGCACCATCACCATCATTTCCTGGTCATGCCCAGATCTCCAGCCGCCGACCTGGGGAGAATTGGGAACAGAGCACCCGAGAGTTCACGTCGCGATGATGTCGGCGCTGGCTGTGCAGATCGTTCAACCTCGAACGATCGCTAGAAGAAGAAAACAGCATAAAGATAAACTCGTGGCGCTCCGCGCGGATTTCTTGGATCTGCGCTGGAACCCCCTCCCCGGCGCGCCGAGCGCGCCAGGGGCGGCGCTGGAGGCGCCGCCGGGGGGCCCAGCGTGGATCCAAGAAATCCGCGCGGAGCGCCAAGAGTTTATGTTTATGGCGTGTTTTCTTCTTCGAATCGCGGCGTTCCGACATCGCGCATGATTCGGGGATCTACTGACCCGGGCCAGTCAAGCCTTGCAGGATCCTGCAAGCTCCTGCAGGATCCTGCGCCCAAGCCCGGGTCCATGCGCCCCTGGCTCTGCAGGATCCTGCAAGATCCAGCGCTCTGGCGGACCCCGGTTTGCATGGACCCCTGTCTCTTGAGTGAGCCTGCGCGGTTTCCCCCGGGGCCGTAGGCGACCCGAGGAGGAGGAAGAGGAGGAGGAGGAGGAGGAGGTGGAGGAGGGGGAGAGCGAGGAGGAGATGGAGGAAGAGGAGGAGATGGAGGGAGGAGGAGGGAGGAGGGAGGAGGAGGCGGTGGCGGAGGAGAAGGACGGGTCGCTCAAGCCCTCCGGAGAAACCCTCCACATGGACCCCCGTCTCTTGCGTGCGCCCCGAAGGCTTCGACATCGGCCGCTTCCGGGCCCCCGGCGGCGTTCCGGCCCGAGTGCCCGCGCTCGGGGGGGGGGGAGGGCGCCGCCGCGTCCCCGCGCGGCGCGAGCCTGCCGCACGGCGCGCGGGCGCGGCAGGGTCCCCCCTGGCAGCGGCACGTGGAGGCAAAAGTCAGCGCCCATCAGTCGGGGCGTTGACCTCAGGAACCCTAGATCAGGAACGAGGTCCCTTTTCCCCATAAGTTAAACTTCGATTTCCCATGGAAGACCTGAGGACAGCCCAAGGAAAAACTGAAACACGATCAAGAAACAGCGAGACCCTCCCCAACGAGAAGGGTTCCTTCTTCAGCGCCACGACTGTAGAGGGCAGAAAACCCACCCCAACTATAGCCACCCCGACACTTCAAGCCGTTCTGTAAGCGCACCCAAAGAAGGAATCGAGCAGGGCAGGGCTGTTAGGTAGACGTCCAGTGCCGCTTAGTAAACACCACTTATCGGGTCCGGGTGGTTTTTACCTCCCTTGACCCATGCCACGCAGAGGGGGGCAACTGTCAGAGATTACGGTAAATTCGTGCGGCGTCGGCGCGCGCAAAGGTTCTTTCTTGCCGCGTCGATCGTTCAACAGTGAATCGATCGCGGCCCTGATCGTTCAAGGTTGAGTTCCGTCGGGTCCAGTGGCGTGACGTGGTCCCTCGGTACTTCCGCGTCGCAGGATTCAAGCTTGAACGCCTTCGCCAGCGTTGCCAGCACACCATCGCCGCATGAACCTTCCATACGACCCTGGGCGCGCACGCATGACAGCGTGCTGTTTGCAACGCAGCAGAACACGAAAGAGAACGGTCGCAATAGGACATGCCACCGCTGGGAAAGACGGTGCAGCCGATTCAGGAGAGCAAGTCCCCGATCAGGATTACACAAGCAGCATCAGCAGATTCACACTGACATGGGGAAACAACAACAAGTCATCCTCCGAACCACTTCTCCTGATCCGTTGCAGACGCCACCATACCGTCGCCGCTTCGTAGTGCCCTCAGGCCCTTTAGAGTCCTCATAACTGAATGCTGGGAATGTTGCTTAGGGGCCCCTGGCGCCACATGTTCAGAACTCGAGTCGCTCACGGGCGCTCCTGACGATCGCGTTACTTTTCCCGAGGTCCTAGCAGAGTCCTTGGAGACCCATCCTTCCAACATCTTCTAAGATTGCCTCGGGGGCCCGCCCTGGTATCATCTTAGCACCATATTGGGCCGTCCTGGGGGCCCCAGGGGGCCAACAATGAAGCCTTAATATCAGTTTCGCATGTTCTCACCCGTTGGTCTCAAGGCCGTCCGAGACGCTCCAAGAGGCATCCAAAGAAACCACGCTACCTCCATACCGCTGAAGACCCCCTCCAAAATGGCCCGACGACCCCGTAGACCCCGACATGAGGCCTCCACGGAGCCCCCAAGACTCCTGCAATAGCCACCCCCAGGATGCCTCCACAGGCCCCCGAGTAGCCCCCAAGAGGCTTCTAAGAGGCCTCCCAGATAACCACCCGAGAGGCCACAAGAAGCTTCCAAGGGGGCTCTGGGTCACGACACAGACACGGTGATTGGATGAGATGGAGTCCACTATCGTCAACAACATCCCCTTCCTGTACACAATCCTTACGTACCTTCCCCTACCGCTGTTCCTACTGATACCCCAGCTTCTAGCACTCATACTGCTCCTAGTAGTGCCGCTGTTGTCACTGCTCTTCTGCTGCTGCTCCTTACTCAACACTTCTTGTTTCGACTGCTGCTCGTTCTGCCCCGTCTCCTCATCTTCCCTTTGCATCGCTGCACCACGCTGCCTGTATCTTCGATCGGAGCTCCTGGCCATACCAACAGCCGCACGCAGCCAGCGCCAACAACGGCAAGGTCAGTATAGCCCTCGGGGGAAGCAGCTCAAAACAAAAGGGGACAGCGGGACAGCGCAAGAGGTGAAAGACAAACGCGCACGCGTTTCCTCCGCCGAGGTGTTGCAACGACAGCCCGTCGTAACGTTGCGGGATGCACAAGCTCATATTTCACCCGTGCGTACCCGTGGAGTCGCACACGCACACACTTTTCCTGCAGCAGCCGGGTGACCGTACCGCGGTGCCGGGGAGGGGCGCGCTTCGCTCGAGTAGCACCACGCGTTGCAGATGGGAGGACTGGACGAAAGCAGGCGCATGCATGCGGAAAAGCGCGAGACCACGAATGTACCTGCAAGAACACGCGCAACCTTACACACACACACTTTGAGCGTCGCGGGCGGGGCGAGACAATCCACACGGCCGCTGAGTAAGTACGGATGGTTACGGGCCCCGGCTAGAGCAAGCGACAGCCGGTCAAGGCAGAAAGACTCCCGCGATGCTGCACGGGCCAGTAGCGTCCAGAATTAGGACGACAAGGGGCCAGCGAACATACACACACGTACACGCACACACCTTTTCGGAGCAGAGTGCTCTTCTCCCGCACGCGCACCCTGGGAGGCCACACGAGTCAGCCAGGCAGCAAGGCAAAGGCAGGCGAAGAGTGACAACCATGTGAATGCACCGGAAAGAAAACCAAAACGCCGGTGCGGCAACGGAGACTTCTGCGACCAAGCACTGAAAGGGATAGGTGTCAGGGGATGTCCAGAGGGGGGCTCGAGGAGATCGTTTTTTTATGATGTCTGGGTGACGGTCGTTACCAAGGGGGCTGGAGAGGGGTTGGGGCCCTGGGTAACGGTAGCGCTTGGGCGGGGTTGGGGCACGTCGAGGCGGAGGTGCGCTTCGATCGCCACAATATGCGCGGGAGCGCCAGTATGTGTGGAGGGGTCCACGTACGATCGCTACCGTTACCTGGGGGGAGAAAAAAGCAATCTCGAGCGGCCAGGTGCCAGCATTCACTCCGAGCTCTTGTTTTGCACACCCGCCCACCTGTTGCCGCCGTACTCCTGCCGAGCCACCGCGATGCCCTGTACCCCCCCGACCCTGCAGGGAGTAGGGGCGGAGATGCGGGCGACTGCAGCAAGGTGCTCCGCAAGGAGTGCGCAGCGTGTCCACGGAGGAGTCGAGGCAGCGCGGCGCGGAGGTCCCACCGCCAAGGGATCTCAGGAAAAAGGCGCACGAGAGAGGAACGCCGAACGCCGTATGCTGGCTATGCGTTGCAGGCTGACCGTGCAGGGACGCCATCCCGCGGATTGCATATGAGCGGCGAGAAGAAACGGGTCTTGCGCGAGATGGCATAGCAACCTGACGCCGCGGCTTACGCCGGCCGCCAGCGCTGCACGCCACATTGGAAACGAGGGCGCTTGCGCGCGACCTTCCGCGGGTAGCACGCGCCAGCGTCGGTGAAGACGACCCCGGTTTCCTGCATCGCTCATGCAACTGCGACCGTTCACGCAAACGTGTCGACGAGCATCGAGGCCACTGCAGATCGGATAGGATGCCAATGGGAAAGGGCGCTGCGACTTCAGAGTGTCGAGCTCGCTGGTTTGAATAGCCGATTGCAAACGTGAGGCCTCCCGTGGCTGTTGTGAACTGCCTCTCCAGCAAAGGCACCCCCACGGAGGGCAGCGACGAGAGGATTGAAGAGAGACTCGCCAGACGGGGGTAGAAAAACATGTTCCCCAGCGGCAATCACGGATGTAACCAAACAACGTGTTTGATGGGCCTGTCTTCCACCACAACCACCACCACCACCATAAGTTGGAGGGGGGAAGGAGGAGGAGGAGGACGAGGAGGAGGAGGAGCAGGAGGAACCCCTCCCCCTCCAACTCAAAGTGGTGGTGGTGGTGGAAAACAAGCCCATCAGCGCTCACGTGCGACAGCCACGGATGCGCTGCCGAGACATCAAGGGCGGCTCGCCCACCCGCAGGAGGCCTGCGGCACTCCGGCGGCAGCGAGTCGCCGCTCGTCTGCCGGGAGCGTTCTGTCAAGGAACCAGTCAGCAGCATCGTCGAGCCATGGGCCTGGCAACGTCATGCAATGTGGGGGGGGGACTACAGTCAGCCAGTATAGTAAGGATGCGCGATAAGGGTGCAAGGGCCTTGGACGCCCATTTCGAAGCTTTTCGAGCGGGGCGCGGCAGGCGAAAGCGGCGAAGGATGGACCGAGGAGGCAAGGATGCAAGGGTACCCTTGGGAAGGTTGCCCATCCTTACTATCATGCTTAACTGTATGACACCGCCCAGGAGAGCGAAGCGTATACGAAGACGATGTCGTGGACAGTGGCCTTCGCCCTGACAGTCTACAGGGGCTGTGAGCCCTCGCCCGACGAACGGTCCCCGCACGCTTCACCTGGTGTAGCTGTCGAAGGTTGAAGTGATTCACCAGGTCTCAGATTCGTACGCCCAGCCTTGAGCTGCTCTGAAGCTGAAGCGCCGCCCCGTCGAAGTACCGTGATCACGCACGATCCGTAATGCTAGATGTTAGAAGGTGTTTGAACTGCACGGTCTCGTTGATGAATATTGGCTCCGCCCTGGTTCTTTGCCACTCCTGCAGAGACGCTGCAACACTATCACTCGTGCAAGCGAACCTTGCGCCGCTCGCAAATGTTATGCCAACTGTTTGGGCACATCCCTCCCCTACCTGGCCTCATGTTTCGATAGCGTCGACCTCGCAGAAAGATTTGCTTTGGCCTCACCATGTTGGCAAAGGAAACAAGGAAGAAGAGACACGAACTTTAAGTGGATCGGTAATTCATGTTTAGATGGCTGTGCTTTAATCTAGCCGTGTTGCCCCTCAATCTCGGGCGTCCAGTCTGCGGTTCAGGGTAGCTGTCACCGCTGATGTACATCGATGGCTTGGAATGGCTACAAGTCGACAGTAGCCCTTCTGCGGATCTCAACGGCGACAAGGGGAGTCATACTCATGCATGGTCCTCATGACTGTGAACTCTTGATCGGGAAGAAGGCGTTTACAATATGAGTCCTGACCATCTGGGCGCCCTGGATGAGGATGGCGTTCGGCCTCAGATCAGCTTGACATTCTGGCACGTAGAATCATTTCCGGGGGCGTCCAAGAGGGGGGCGTCCCAGACGGGTGTGTGCAAATCATGGCCCGAGGCATATGCGCGGACCAGGGGGGGCCAGGGAACGCATTGAAACAAGAAGAGGGCCCATGAAATCTGCGGAGATATCATGGCCCTGACCATGCTATCCCCCCACCCCCCTAGTCTTCACCCCCTTTTTGGTCGCCCCTGACATGTTGCGGCTGGCTCTATTCCCAGGGCTGCCCAGGTACAACTGGCAGACTGAAGTGCGACGCCCCGCTCGGAAATCTTACGGCTCGAACCATGTCTGGGGTATGGCCACCCCTGGATCTCTCGACCCCCTTCCCTTGGGCAGTTGTTTTGTTTTTCAGCTACTCTCCCTAACATTGCTGGAACCCAAGACTGACATCCAAAGACCAGACAGATTATGAAACAAGGCTGGACCTAAACGTTGTTCTTCGTTATGTGTTCGTTTTGTGTTCCGTTTTGCCCAACCTATTTTCCTGTACCTCCCTGCCAAAACGAGAAACAAAAAAACAGCCGAAGTCCAGCAAAACAGCGTGTAGGTCCAGCCCTGTTGTGAAATACCGGCCGACTCGATTTGTTCTAGTCCCCCGGATGTCTAAGACAGCCACGATGCAGGCATCAGAACGCCGCCCGGGACGATCGGGGAGTCCCCTGCGCAAACAAACCTCAGCAAGGCGCGGCCGTTTGGAGGAGGGCCCTCCTAGAGGCCTCTGGGATCCCCAAACCCTCAGAAGAATCACAGACGCACCAAGCAACCTCCGGATATCTAGTTCGCGCGCGCGAGGGCGGCTCTCACTGGAGCCGAAGATCGGCCAAGAGCAGACAACGAATCCCAAAGAGTGCGGATCAATGGTTGGAAAGCCTCAGGGACGGCTCCAAGATAGGGCCCCACTATGACCTTAGGTTGGCTTCAATATGGCCTCGGGGTGGTCCAGGCCGGTTCGAGCTAGCGTAGTGGACTCCAACGGCGGCCCATGATGGCTGGATATCCCCTCCTCGGAAGCTCCCGATATGGCCACGATCATTTATAAGCATGTGCGTTCGCGGTTTGGGGCACTCTTGCCTCTGCGGAATTCAGTGCGCTTCTCAGGCCCAGCGGCGTGCCCAACAGGGCCACGAGAGAGCCCCGAGAGGGCCCCGAGGCTCTACGAGAGGGAGCCCCAGGGCGGCTCCAGGGGAGCCCGCGAGCGGCCCGAGAGCGCAGGTCCATCGGCGCCAGGCTCGAAGATGGCCCCAAGCTGGCCCCAAGGCGCCCCGAGGTGGTGCCCATGTGTCCCAGGATGGTCCGAGGCAGCCCCATGCACTGCGAAGGGTGGCCCTGGACGGCCGAAGAAGCCCCCTTCAGGAAGCCCCCAAGACAACCATGACCAGAACCACAGGCAGAAACGTTTGTGCTTGCTGTGTTGGGTATTGTTGCCTCTGCGGGGATCCTATGGGTTCATCGGGCCCCGCGGTGGCCCCAAGAAGGCCTCAACAGAGCCCTAAGAGGGCCCCGAGACTCCACAGTTTTGGGTGACCCAAAAGGGGGTCCAGCCGAAAAGGGGGCGGTGCAATAGATTTGGGGCAAGTGTATTGCAAATGCATTGCGCCGGAGAAATGGATTACATTGTATTGCACGTCATGCGTTGCAACCGAAAATGCAGCAATACATCTGCGCCCCGTAATGTATTGCACGCCCCAGATGTATTGCAACCCGACAGATCTATTGCACGAAATCTACTGCACACCCCCTTGTCGCTGGACCCCCTTGTGGGTCAACCCGAACAGTAGGGCCCCAGGATGGCCTACAAGAGGGCCCGCAACTGTCTCTCGAGGCGGCCCCGGGAAGGCTCTCCGGGGGAGGGCCCGAGAGCGGCCCCACGTGAGGGCCCCAGGGAAGGCCCCGGGCCAATCCCAAGAGGCCCCAAGATGACCCCCCCCCAACAGGCGGAAACGGTCCAAGGCGGCCCCCTAGGAGGGGCGAAAGGAGGTCCCCAGAGGCCTCAGGCCAATCCCAAGAGGCCCAATCCAGCCATCGTGCTACCACAGGGGACGCATAGTAGGGAACGGAAGGGCTTTTCTGGCCACGGCGGGCCTGGGCCACAAGCAAGCCCCAAGGCATAAATCTAAGCACCAGCCCGAAGACTCAAGCGAGCCCCTTCTGAGCCCAAAGTTGTCCTTATTTCAGCGTCTTGGCTGTATGACCCCCCAACGGGCCGAAACGGTCCAAGGCGGCCCCCAGGAGGGCGAAAGAAGGTTCCTAGAGGCCCCAGCAGGCCCCCAGACGCCTCCCAGAGACCCACCAAGAGTCCCCCAAACAAGCTCGGACAGCCCCTGAAGGGGTTCTAAACTTGCCTTCTCGTGATTTCGGCGATGCTTGGGTGGGGGCGTACTCCGTTCAGTGTTGCACTCGGCATATTTGGGGAGCTACCACGAGCGCCGCGAGTTTCCCACGATCAATTGGAGAGTCACCACCACCCAACAATTCCCAGTATCGACGAGCGCGCAAGCAAATTGCGAGGACGATATAGTATGGGATCGCGGACTGCGCAAAGCGGTTGACTATACCAAACACACACACACACACACACACACACGCACGCACGCACACACACATACACACACACACGCACACACACGCACACACTAAACTTCGAAGAGATGGAGGAGTAGATGCATGAGAAGTAGGAGGAGCAGGAAGAGCGGGGGAGGATCCTCAGGGAACTCGCCACTGGCATGGAGCCTCGATGCCTCACAGTCTCGCCCCCCCAGCGGCAGGAAGATCAATACACTCGCCCCCCTGCGGTCCTCGTCGTGAAGTAGGCGCGGAGGGCGGCCACCATCTGGCGAGGTGGGGAAGGAGGATACTAGGATAGATGCTGGAGGTTTTCCTATGCGTGGGTCGTTTGGGGCCTTCGAAAGCTTTTCGAGACCTCCAAGGGCCTCCAAAAACCTCCACACCCAGATGGAGGAGACGGAAAGGTGGGGAGGCGAGGGAGGTTGAAGTGGAAGAGTGACGAGCCCTGGCTGGTCAATACCGTAAGCGACGTTGCGTTGAAGCCCGTCGCGGCCCAAAACGACCAATACGCAACATCAAACACTACATGAGTGAGTGACCGGGAGTGACCGAAGAGAACTGTGCCCCTAGACCGAGGCCTGGCTGCCACTGCCAGCCTCGACAACAAGGCACACCGAGGCAATACCTCTGGTGGAATACGTGGCGGAAGTCGGGGATCTACTGACCCAGGTCAATCCAAACCCGGCTCAGTCAGGCCTTGCAGGATCCTGCAAGACCCTGCAGGATCCTGCAGGGTCCTGCACCCAAACCTGGGTCAATGCACCCCTGGCCCTGCAGGCTCCTCTAAGATCCGGCGCTCTGACTGACCTCCGTTTGCATTGACCCCCGTCTCTTCAGCCCCGAGGAAGCCTTATCACATGGGTGCTGGCCCTTGGCAATCCGAGCGAGGTTCTCTTGACCCCCTGCGGCCGCGCACGGGGGGGTGCCCCATGGCTGGATGGAGAGGGTCCGTGGTGGCCATGAGCCCGCGCTTTGCACAGAAACGAGACTATGAAGGTCCCAGGCCACATACTCCTCCTCCTCCTCCTCCTCCTCCTCCTCCTCCTCCTCCTCCTCCTCCTCCTCCTCCTCCTCCTCCTCCACACTTGAACTATATAAATAATACTCTCCTCTCTCCCCTGGTGGCGTCCGGGAAATGGCCGGCCCCACTCTGCGTACTGGATTTTTGCACACAAGATTCCCGGGAAAAGGGCTTTCACTTATTTGTTTTTGCTGCTCTCGCTGAAGCGCTGGCTTCATTTTCGGACTACCGCTCGCATCGTGCTCCCGCTGCAGAACTGGCCTCATTTCCGCGATTGCGCTCGTTCCGAATCGTGCTCCCGCTGTAGCGCTGGCGTCATTATGTCCAGCGCCATGCCACGGCATGGTTTTCGGCCCTTCCAAAACAAACACCACAAATTTAGAAAATGGCCCCCTAAGAAACAATCGGAAGTGATTACACATTCGGTGTCGATTCGTTGAATTTTTGGGGCCGCAGAAGCCCCCCCCCTTACTTTGGGTCGTCGCCACGCCATGCTATGTCAGGCTACGCGTCCTCATTTCCGCGCTTCCGCGCTTGGGTTTTTGTTAGAAATGCTGCTCTCGCTGAAGCGCTGGCTTCATTTTCATGCTACCGCTGGTTCTGAATCGTGCTCCCGCTGCAGCGCTGGCCTCATTTCCGCGTTACCGCTCGTTCCAGATCGTGCTCCCGCTGCAGCGCTAGCGTCATCATTTCCAGTGCCATGCCACGGCATGGTTGTCGGTCCTTCCAAATAAGCACCAACTTAAAAAAAATGTCTATCGAAGAAACCATCGGAAGTGATTACACATTCGGTGTCGATTCGTTGATTTTTGGGGCCGCAGACGCCCCCCCCCTCCCCACTTTGGGGCGTCCCCACGCCATGCTATGTTCTGCTACGCGCTAATTTTCAACACCATGCTATGCCATGGCCATGCAATACTATGCCATGCTACGACATCCGATTGTGCAAATAGAAAGGAGATCTACGCCATGGTAAGGGACGGGAGGGAGGGATAGGACGTCAGATATGACGCGAGCGCACCTAGCTTGCCCTCCTCCCACTTCCCCTCCCCCTTCCCCTATGTTGGCTCAAGTTTTCAGCTTGGGGCGTCTGCCTCGCAGGCGCGCTGCACGCACCCTACCTCGCGCCGAGACTAGCGTGCCTGCCGGAGCGACGGCGGCCCGCGAATGGGCCTCGCATCACCGGAAGCGCCTCCGACGGGCGGCGGACCGCGCACTGCTCCGCGCCTGGAGGGGGCGTCTCACTGCGGACCTGGGCGAGCGGCTCGGCCGCGCAGCGCGGCGCTTGCTCGATGGCGCCCAGCGGGCGCGCGGACGCCAGCCAGGAGCCTTGGACGTGCAAGCATCGCGATGGCCGGGACGTCAAGCCCTACGTCAACAAGGGCTTCCGCACGAGCTGCCACTCGTGCGGCATCGCGAAGGGCAGCTTCATTCGCCGAGGTTGCCCCGTCCTCACCATCACGGTCTACCTGGCCGCCGGCGCGGACACAGCAGCAGACGGTGGCGCAGCGCGAGCGCGAGCCCAAGGCCAAGAAGGCGGAGCTCAAGCGGAGGCAGCAGGCGCCAGCCGATGCTGCCCCTGGCGGCGCGGAGGCCCCAGCAGCCCCTGACCATGCCACCATGGACGAGCTGCGTGCGGACATCGAGCAGTTGGGGGGCATGGAGGGCGGCAGCGGCGGCCACCTCGAGGCCCTCCTGGCCCAGAAGCGGGAGGAGCTGCGGGCCTTGCAGGATGCCCGCTGGGCGTCCAAGCCGGTGCACCTCCAGCTCAAGGGGTTGGACGAGAAGCTCAAGAAGAAGGACAGGTTCCTGGAGCGGCAGGAGCAGACGGCCATATCCGCCGCGGCGACGTTGCTGTGGAGAAGCTCAAAGGCGAGCGGGACGAGGTTCAGCAGGAACGGGACGTCCTGCAGAAGCAGCGTGACGGCCTCGTACTGTCATCGGTTCAGGGCGCACTGCCTAATCGGGGGCGCGCAAACATGGATCTGGGGAGGTGCCCTCCCCAGAATCCGGCCGGTGCCGTCTCGTTCGGCGGCGGAAATCTGTGATTCCCCATGGAAGCGGGACGCGTCGCTCATCCACGCCCCCTTGATCCATGTCTGCGATCGCCTGACCTAAGCAGGGTGCCACGTCGGGAGACCGGGCGCAGGCGTGGGTCGAGCCGTGTCCGCGGCCGTCCGGCACCTCCCATAGCGGGCGAGCGGGCGGGGCCTTGCCAGGCGCACCTCAGGAACTTGGATTTAGGTCGGGCGGGTCCTCCTACAGGGGGGGGATTTTGGAGGAATAATCAAGAAAGAGTCAAAACAAAATTCAAGAATAACCAAAAATAGTCAAAACATCGTCCCCATTGCATTTTTGTTTGACTATTTTTGGACACTCCTCCTGTAGAGGGGCACGCCCGACTTGGAACTTGGACGAGCCGGCGCAGGCCGAGCTGGCGCAGGCGGCCCCTGGCGCACCGGCAGCCGCCGTGGGCCAACTGCCCTCAGTGGGTAGGCCGGCAATCTGGGCGCGCTCGGTGCTAACACACAGTGTGGTGTTGGATTTAGTACAGGCCGCTCCGCCTGGGGCCAACTGCCGGCCCCACCAGAAATGGGTCGGGCGTGTCCCCCTACAGTTAAGTCGGGCATGTCCCCCTACAGGGTGGTTTTGAACGAAATTGAAACATACTCCAAGAAATACTCCCGAAATGATCAACCATACTAAAAAGTGTCCCCTAACTATGTTTTGATTATTTTTGAATATTCCTCCTGTAGAGTGATACGCCCGACTTAACCCTACAGGCGGATTTTGAACGAAAAATTAAGAACATACGAAACGATGCTCAAAAATAGCCACAGGATAGTCAAAACAAATCATCCCCATATCATTATTCTAATATTTTTGAATATGCCTCCTGTAGAGGGTCATGCCCGACTTAGCACCAGAACCTGGAGCACATGCCGCGGCGGTCACTGGAGAAGCGGGAGCGGCTGGCGCGGACAGCACCGATGTCGACATGCCGTCCGAAGAGGTCGAGGCGCTTCTGGACGACAGCGAGGGCTACGCATCGTACTTGAGGACGACATCCCAGATATGATTTCGAGCACCCAGAGAAGTATCGAAACAGTGTCGAACGAGTATCGCCTCCCAGGGCCCGACAAGTGAAAACCTCAAGCTTCGGTACTTTCTAGGTGCTCGAAATTCCTTCTGGTGATCAATGCTAAAACAGGTTGGAACATCATCGAGCGAGGTTGTGTTGGCTGGTGGCGGGGACCCTACCCTTCTCCCGCGCGAAACGTGGGGATCCCGAGCGTGCGGAGAGCCCCGTGCGCGCGAACTCCGCCCACGCGCGAGACCCTTCCTGCGGGAACCCCGCGCGCGCGGGACCCGTGCGCGTGGAAACCCCGGGTGCGTGGAGCGCCGCCCGCGTGCGAAACCCTCCCCCCCCGCGGGGACCCCGTGGCGACCACGGCCCGACCACGGCGCACGGGGCCCCGCGCGCGGACCCCCCCTGCGGCGCGGGGACCCCCGTGGCGGCGGCGGCCCGACCACGGCGAGGAGGGGCCCGGTCCCCGGGGCCTGGGCAGGGCACCCCTCAAGCGCAAGCACGGCGGGGAAGGAGGAGGAGGAGGATCGAGGAGGAGGATCGAGGAGGAGGAGGATCGAGGAGGAGGAGGAGGATCGAGGAGGAGGAGGAGGCTGCTCGAGAAACACGCCGCTTGCAGAACGTGTGCACGGTGAGGGGGGCGCGATGAGAACGGATGCAGGCGTGGCGGCACGGTACCCGTCCCCGACTGTACCTCAGATGCTGTTGCCTGCCACATCGAAGACTCCACCTTGAATGAGGGATGGAAAAAACGCCCCTACCCTGGGTTACAAGTGCGTGGTCTGTAAACCTCATGCGAGCTCCCAAAAGCCAGAGAGCCGCCAGTAAGCCGCGCGACACGCAGGGTTTCTCCTGTCAGCCCACAGGAGGTTCAGCGCACAGCGCCTGGTAAACCAGGATAGGGGCGTTTTTTGAGCCCTTGATTGAAATGGGCTCCCGCGCCTTCTACTTCTGGATCCTCTGGGGCCCCTGTGGGCGCTCCCGAACCCCCTGCATGCATCTGAGAGCGCTGCTGAGCACTCACAAGGGCGTCATGGACCGCGTGGGGCCCTGCAGGCGCGCGAAGGAGCCGCCCGGGGAAACCCCTGGAATGGGCTGGTATGGATCTGAGACGTGCCCATCACTCCTGTGGAACTCCAGGCCAGCTCTCTGGATAGTCGTAACGCCGTCCCGTGGCAAAACAAAGAGGGGGGGAAAGTCCTGGCGAAGGGGTGAGATCGCAGTGAAACGGAAAGCCCCCCTTGGGAAATCGGTTTCGGTTTCGTGTTCGTGTCGCGCGTGCGGGCGAAGCGAAGCTGCGTGGGCGGGCGAGAAAAATGAACCCTCCTCTGGCTAGGGCGCCGCCGGGCAAAAGGACGCCCCGCCCTGTTGGCTGGCAGTGGCCGATGGTGTCCCGATGGTGTCCTGTGGTGTCCAGTGGTGTCCCGTCGGTGTCCCGTCGGTGTCCCGTGGGTGTCTCGTAGTGAGATCGATCGTGAGATCGATAGTGGGATCGATAGTGAGACCGATAGAGAGGCCGATAGTGACATCGATCGTGAGATCGATAGTGAGATCGGTTGAGTGAGACATTGGTTCCACCCCGAACCCTCTTATCACCCGAAGGGTGGTCGTATAGGTATTCATGCGCAGCTTTGAATTTCCGCTCACACACGAGCACTGCCACAGACGAGACTCATGTGAATGGAAACAGACGGGCGCTACGGACTAGCAGCGCACACGGGAATCCTGCTCCTGCTCTGCCTCCTTCTCCTTGCTCCCATCCCCTCACAACTCCGCCACAATCGACCCGTATGATAAGGACGCAAGATAAGGATTCAGGGGCCTTGGAAGGCCATGTCGACACGTTGCGAGCGGGGCGCGGCCAGGGAAAGCGGCCAAGGATGGGCCCAGGGGGAAGGACGCGAGGGGTAACCTTGGAACGTCGCTCACACGCGAAGGTGAAGTCACTCGATCACTGAAGTAGGAAGGCGCTTAGAGCAGATGGGAATCTGGGAATCCAAAAACACCTGCTTTCAACGACCGATGGGTACTACGCGGGCCGGCCGCACTTCTCAACAAGCGCCTGGGGGGCGGGGGAGCAGAACCCCACGACGAAGGCCCACGTCGCCACGTCGGCGCGCCCCGCCAGGGGGGCGCGGCGCGTTCCGCGCGCGGTGTCCATCGGCAGAGGGGATCGCTTCGGGGCTTGTCAGCGGGGGCGTCGACCCCCTGGCGCCCCTCAAGAAGCGCAGAGCGCCCTCAACATTACGTCGGGCATGTCCCCCTACGGGCGGATTTTGGACGAAAAATCAAAAATAGTCAAACAGTGCTCAAACATAGCCGACAAATAATCAAAAAATCGTCCCCGCATTATTTCTTTACTATTCTTGGATTTTCCTCCTGTAGAGGGACAGGCCCGACTAAAGGCTTGTCAGCGGGGGCGTCGACCCCCTGGCGCTCCTCCAGAAGCGCAGAGTGCCCCCCAACATTTCGAGCTCACCCGACGGCCTCGGGCTCCTCTTCAAACAGCCCGTGCCAGATGACCGCAGCGTGCGACACGTTGCACTGCGCGAGCGGATTCTGTGGCATCGGCCTCCCGGGAGCTGGGCAGCAAGAGCGATGCTGGTGCAAGAACAAGGCGAAGCCAGGACGAGGACAAAATCAGGTGAGGATAAATCGAGAACCTCTGAGATTCCGCTGCTCTGGAGGATGTCTCGGGCGCAGCGGCCTTCTCAGAGCGTTCTGGAACGCTTTGAGAGCGCTCCAGAACGCTCTGGAACGGATTTATCCTCGTCTTAGTCCCGCCCGACAGGAACCCGTGCTTGTTGTCAATAACGCCGGACCGGCCCCGCCGCCCCACTCCCCTCCCCCTCACTGGTCACGTCACGCTTCGCGCCGGCGCCCATGTGGGAATAAGCCATTCATCTTAAGCATTCCCAGACGGCGCCGGCGCGAATCGTGACGCGACTGGCCCCCTCCTCCCCCCCATCCCCCCACTGGCCACGCCCATTATTGCCAGGGGACAAAAAACCGTCTCCAACTGTTGCGGCTACTGGCGCTGCTGATGATGATGCAGATGCCGACGGTTCTCGGGACGTCAACCGACCACCTCACCTAGAGGCTTCCCAGATGGGATCCGAGCAGATGGTGTCGGAGGATCGCGCCGCATCGCCAATGCATCGCCGATGCATCGGCGATGCGTCGGCGACGTCGGCGATGCATCTGCGCCATCGGCGTAGAAAAAACGGGCTCCACATCGATCCGCAGCGCCGATGCGTTGGCGATGCGGCGCGATCCGCCGACCCCATCCCCTCGGACCCTGTCTGGGAGGGCTGCAACACACCGATCCTGCGTCGAGGGTGGGCCCAGCCAGGATCGGCGATGCGGTCAGGTGGCGCCCCCCGAACGGTGCGGATGAGAATGCTGTCGATGCCTATGCTGGGGATGCTTCCGCTGCAGCCGGGGCACCTGACACTGCTGCTACCGAGTGGTGCTACGCCCACTGATGTTTAACGGCGCTGCTGCTGCTACCGGTGACGACGCCGTGACTGATGTCGGTGTTCACACGAATGTTGTGGCCAGGGCAGCAGGTTGATACATATGAAAGGGAATGGGACTTTGAGAGTGAGCCTTCCAAAAGCAATCGAAGGTCATTGCAAACTGAAGCGACAACTAGCACATGCAAAATAATACATACCCCCAGGGGAGCTCTAAACTCGTAATGAATCGATTGGCAGCATGGCATCTTTAAGATGTCACACAAAACAACCATAATAAGGTCGGCGCAACGATAGAAACTGAGAAACCCAACATCCGCTGGGGAACCAAAAGAGTCAAATGTAATATAATCGGCAGGCCCATGGTAAAACGAAAAAACTTGCAAACGATGCCGGGACACGGTATCAGAAAATCCGCAAATAGGAATTGCTGAGAAATTTGATGTTCCACCACTCCCTAAATGACCAGAACCAGAACTGAACTCCCGCCAGCCGGGGCTGCGCATGTCTCACCCGCAAACCACGAACTGTTCCCCTAACATATGAGACAGAAGATCAGTCCTCAAAACACAACAAGCCAGCCTTCCGGAAACTCATTACACCAAAGAAAACACCCAATCAGTGCAGGGCTTTCGCTGAGGAGATCGACCGGGAACCCAGGAGCCCGGGAACCCAGAACCCACCGAAATCTGCCCGGAACCAATAACCGGGAATCCGAGAATCCGGAACCGGGAACCCGGGAACCCAGCCTGTTACCAACGTCGGCGGGAAACGTTCGCCAAATCTTTCAGCTTCCGCTGGGACCCCCCTCAGTGCAAGCACTGATTGGGGAATCAAATCCTCCTCCGGCTCACGAGAGCCAAAGCAAAGCCACACTCAGCCTCACCCTGGCCACGGCGATCCCAAGTGGCCCGCGACGGGCAGAAGCCGCGGCCCCAGGGACCGCCGAGCTCAGGCCGCAGTGTCTGCCCTGGCTCTCGAGCGAGCCGCGCTCCACGCCATCAGTTGAAGGGGCCCTGGGGCACACAAATACATGCACACAAATAACAGGATTCCCCGTATTTTCTGATAATTTCTGGGTTTTTGTCTTCCCCCCCACTTCCCATATTTTCCCATATTTTCCTGGGAGTCGACGGTTAATTGTGTCTGTGTGTTCCTTTCCCTCCTGATCAGTGACCCTGATCAGAGGACAACCCCTGAAGCCCGACTGCTGTTGCTGCCGGGGGGGCGTCAAAACAAAGGAGCTGCTCGCTCAGCGTAGCATCCTGTAGAGAACTTGGCGGAGCAGTGCACCTCATCATCCCCTCGTGTACCTGCTCCTCTTGACCCACGTGCGCACCACCATCATCCTGCTCCTTCTCCTCCTCCTCCTCCTCGTCCTCCTCCGCCTCGTCGTCATCATCAGCATCATCATCATCAGCATCATCAGCATCATCATCATCATCATCATCATCATCATCATCAACAGCAGCAGCACCACCACCACCACCACCACCACCATCATCATCATCATCATCATCAGCAGCAGCATCATCATCATCATCAACATCATCATCATCATAATGATCATCATTGCCATCATCATCATCAGCAGCATCATCATTGCCATTATCTTCAGCAGCATCAGCATCAGCACCAGCATCATTATCATCAGCATTATTACCATCATCTTCATCATAATCATCATCATCATCAGCATCAGCATCATTATCATAATCGCCGTCGTCGTCGACGTCGTCGTCGTCACCATCATCAGCTTCATTATCATCAGCATCATCAACAGCATCATCATTATAATCGGCATCATCATCACCAGGAATCATCATCGTCATCCTCATAATCATCGTCATCAGCATCGTCATCATCATCAGCATCATCATCATTATCCCCATCGCCATCATCATCAGCATCAACATCATCATCCTCATCGCCCTTATCACCTCATCGGCGCCGTCATCGCCATCGCCATCATCACCGTCACCACCGTCAGACAGAATCGGCATCGTCATCATCCGCAGCATCGTCATCACCGCATCGTCATCGTCACCGCCTGTACCAATACCATCATCATCATCAACACCACCACCAGCACCATCATCACCACCACCGTCATCCTTACCATCACCACCTCCATAGTCATCATGTGTAGCGTCATCATAAGCCATCATCCTCGTCATCGAACTCGTCAGTATAATATCGCCACGTCCTCCTCAGCATCGACACTGTCATCAACATCATCGGCAGCATCAGCATCGTCATCAGCAGCAGCATCATCATCACCAGCATCATCAGCAGCATCATCATCATCATCAGCATCGCCACCATCAGCATCATCATCAATACCAGCATCATCGTACTCGTCATCACCATCACCATTATCATCATCTCCAGCATCATCCAAATCAGCAAACGCTCACTCACCCAATCTCCCATTCACTCACTTTCGCCGCACACTTCCCGATACACTGTGCGGGTGGGTCAACCAGCCGCCTAAGACCGACCCGTACGAGCGCGCGCGAGCCTCGGCTTGAAGTCACCCTTCTGAGCACGGCT